AACGTCATCAGACCCACAACATGGTTCTGAATGGGACTTTATATTCAGATAGCGAGCATGTACGGATGAACTCTCTTCCTCCTCCACAGCTGATATCGGCAAACCTGACTTCAAGTTGAAGGTGAGCGAAGACAAAAAGAAAACCACCCTGTACGTGACCGACCCACTCACCGCCCTGTTTAAAGATGGCCAGCAGCTGAACATCAGGGATATCTTCTCTGAGCAGCTGCAGTACAGAGTCACCTACAGAAGAAACAAGAGTACCGGCAAAGTGAGTAGCAGCAGACGTTCCAGAACCGGCTTCCAACACTCGTGAACAAGAGAACGAGAACTCCATGTTTTCTTTTTCTGTTGTCTTCAGAAAGTGTACACCTCCAAGACCAACGAGATAGAGCTGTCTGACCTGGACCGAGGGGAGAGCTACTGCTTCAACGTCCAGGCGTACATCCCAAGTCGCCACACTGACAAGCAGCTCGGCGAGATGAGCCAGACCCAGTGCTCCAACGACGACAACGCGTCCATCTTTAAAGGTGAGGTGTTTGATTCTCACACATTCATATATCCCAGGACTGACCCGTGACCAGGTGACGATAGAGCGGTACAACACTCCTGCATGTGGTCAAACACCAAAAGATGAAAAAACACCAAAGCCAACAAAGCAACCATAAAAGAATTTCAGCTCTTCCTGCAGCTCTTCTTTTGCCTCTCACATCACATTAGCATGCGCTTTAAATGTGCAAAGATAGTCAAGCTAAAGTCTAAATTCATTTGTGGCTTTAGCCTGCATTCGACCACGAGTCCCACAAGTGAAAGTCCTCCATCTAGCTCCACCACATCCTGCTGTCATAGACTTTGTTGCTCTTGATCTCATCTGATCTGTGAAACAAAAATGATGGAGTAAACAAACAAGTGTTAAACAAACCAGAATGTCTTCTATAGTTTAGATCCTTTGAAGTTGCCGCCTTTTGCTTTGATGACAGCTTCGCATGCTCTCAGCTTCATGAGGTCGTCTCCCTGATGGTTTTCCAACAGGCTTGAAGGACTTCCCAGAGGTGCTGAGCAAAATGGGGCTACTCTAAAGAATCTGTAACCAATGAACCAATAAAAAATATATATTAATGTAGAATAGTTAAATGAAATACACTGCTTAAATTAAATATAAGCGTTTCCTTTCATACACTAATGAAAGTAATGTTTTCTGTCATGAGAAAAACAGTCAACAGAGCCTCCTGGTGGCCAGATGGTGTAACTACCATTGAAAATGCCCACATGGTGAAAATGTACTGAGGACATGTGCTTCTGTGCATAACTATCAAAGAAGCAGCAAGTTAGCAATTATTAATAGAGGAATATTCCAGGTAGTAGCGAACATAAGCACATGAGAGACGTAAGCTTTAGTATATTAACAAGAATTGATTCCATATTGTGAACCAGACACTAGGAACAGCCTGCATTACAAACATACAAAAGAAAACATTCTGGTCTAAAAATCAATTACGATAAGTGAAGGGATGCTTCAAGTCACACCCACAGGAGGCATCGACTACTGCTCACACATGGAAACAGTACCACATGACAACAGGTGTCGTCTTAATGATCATTAATCAATAAAATTCAGATGAAGGTTAGGGTTAGGCAGGCAATCATGGTTTTGGTAAGAACAGGTCTCCAGGAAGTTAGTTTGAATCCGTGTAATTTCCTCTGACATGAAAAGTGAAAGTGTTTGATGCATGTACCATAAAGACGTAGTTTTCTTTTTGTGAACACATTGTAGGTACTGAACATCTAATAGTATGCCACAGTTGGAAATCCGTACAAACTTAGACCAACAAATGACCAGCGTCTCCCCTCCACTGTAGTGTGAAGCTTTTTAACGTGATGTCGTCCTGTTGTGTGTCTTACAGTGTACTCCATCAGTGTGATTGCTTGTGCCATCTTCCTCATTCTGCTGCTGATCGGCATCGTCGTTGCTGTCACGGTGGTCTGCTGCAAACGCAAGAGGAAGTCTCAGCATGAAAAAGACGGACTGCCGCTCGACGTTATATAATATGTACACAACCTAACATACACACACACACATGCAGAAGCGTTGCTATATGAGGACCCTCTCTGGTAAAATATATTCCACAAACACTGACCCATACGCACATTTTTTCTCACCTTAACTCCAGAACCAGGTCTCCACCCTGAAGCTGCCTTAAACTGTGACGACCGGCCCGGACGTCCTCACAAACTATGGACTGTGCTTGCAGCAGTGGTTCTGAGTTAGAATTGGTCCTCATAAAGATAGCACCACACACACACACACACACACACACACACACACACACACACACACAGGGCACATGCGGTACATCTGAATTGGACCGAGGCGGGTCTAGTTCTACATTCCACTGTCAAACACTGGAATTATTCTTTCCTTTAGTTTCTGTGAAACTCCTTTGGTCATATTTCTTCGTTCCTCATTTCCAGCTGCAGATAAACAGACTTTAGGGAAACACTGTTGGAGCTCTCCTACTGTACAGATATAAACTATTCTGTTTCATTTACTGCCTGTATATGTGGATTAGTGGTACCTCTGATGACTGTAGATAAACACTGCCAATAGTTCTATTTAATTGATTTTGTAGTCGACTTTATAACTTGGTATGATCGTCTGATGACACTTTTTTGGGGACTCTGGTGAAAGCAACACTTTATGGGAAACATAGCATATAATATTTTTGTATTTAAAGCTTAATTTATTGTGTTTATTTGAAATTAACACATTTGTTCATGGTGCTATTTTTAGCCGTTTTATACTTGACGTTGTTGCTCATCGGTTTATGTGGTGGAATGCTGGAGAAATAATAAATATTTTACAAAAAACACGACCAGTTGTTGTTTTTAAAAACGTTTCACTGTCGGTACCGTTAATCCATGACGTTGTTGAACATGATGAATATCTAGTTTGATGCTAACAAATCATATTAACAGTAAGTGCAGTGTATTTGGGCTGGATCGACTAAGTTATTTATAACCCAAGGTATTGCTAAGATCTTTATTATTGCTTGATTTGATAGTACTGGTACATATGTAAGTTTTCATTTACGGTGCCATGAAAAAAGTGTTTCCTCCCTTCTCAAATTCTTCTTTTTTAAAATATTTCCCCTCCTTAAATGTTTAAGACCATCAAACAAATTTAAATATTTGACAAAGATAACCAAGTTTTAAATGATGATTTCATGTTTTAAGGGAACAAAGCTATCCAGACCTTCCTGGCCCTGTGAAAACGTAGTTGTTAAATCATGAATTAGCTGTGGCTGATCACATTTTTTGGAGTTCAGTGTCACTGACACAGCCTGATTAGCTCCAGACCTGTTCAGTCAATAAATCACTTCAACAGAACCTGTCTGACAAAATGAAGTCGGCCAGAAAGTTCTCAAAAAGCTGCAACAAAAGAAATTCAAGAACAGATGAGAAATAAAGTAATTGACGTCTATCAGTCTGGACAGGGTTACAAAGCTGTTTCTAAAGCTTTAGGACGCCACGGTGAGAGACATCATCCACACATGGAGAAACATGGAACAGTGGTGGACCTTCCCAAGAGGCCAGCCGACCAGAATGACCCCAAGAGCCCAGCCACGACTCATCCAGGAGGTCACAGAGGAACCAGGACAACATCTAGAGACCCGCAGGCCTCCCTGCCTCAGCTGATTTTATTTTGAGCAAAGATATTATTTTGGCCGTGGTCCTCCCTGAAGCCTGTTTGACTCCTCGTTTAGTTTGCACCTTTTGGTCACTGTAAATAAATGCACCTTTTTGAAACTTCATTCATGTACCAGTTGTGGCTGCTCGGGGTTTGGGAGGTGGAATCCAGGTTATGTCTCGGCCACCCCAAGATGGGGCAGAACAGTCGTCACAGCATGAAATGTGTTCAAACTACCCTCGTCAATAATCTCTTTTTGAAAGAACATATGAGGAACTAAAGGGAGAAAGGTTCACATGAAGACTTTACAGGGACAAACATGTGCTGTTTACTTAACCGAACCGCCCTGAATGCATTCTTCGCACGCTTCGACACCCCCACCAGCGGGGCAAGAGCCTCAACCACGGCAACAACCAGGCAGGTGTCCACCCGAGGCCTTCAACAACATCAGGTGAGATGCTGGACACTGAAGTTAGGTGCAGACAAGCTGGCAGGCGTACTTACAGACATCTTCAAGCTGTCCTTGCAGCAGGCTGTGGTCCCCACACGCCTCCAGTCTACCCCCAACAGGCAGCTAAATGCCTGAACAACTATTGCCCGATTGCCCTGACACCAACAACAATGCTTTGAGAGGCTGCTCCTGCATTGCATCAAGGGCACCGTTCCTGCTGACCTGGACAGAGCCAACAGAAGACCTCAGCTGCACTGCACACAGGCCTGTCCCACCTGGTGGATCCCAGCACCTACGTTAGGGATGCTAGTCGTTGATTTTTACCTCAGCCTTCATAAACCGAGCTTGGCCCCGTGTCCTTCTAAATCCGGCCTTACAGGTGCAGAAACACACACAAGAAGGAACAAAGACCTCTTTATGAAGATTTGTGTCTCCTGAAGTTTGTTTTTTTCTTTAATGCAGTCAGATCATACCATTACTGTCCATATAAAACCAACAGTACAGTTGAGAACCTTACTTTACATTTTCCGAACACACTTCCTGTTTAGTACATTAGAGCGACAGAAGGGCAGAAGGACCTCGTCTGGACGTCTCCCCACCGGCGACACTGACAAAAGCCACCATTGCACCTGAGACCCAGCGCCCCCCCTGCTTCAGAGACCTCACGTAAAATCATTCATCAACCCTTTCAGTCCCACCACCCGATCAACATAAATATTTAACACAATTTGAAATTAATGATTAGCTTTCAACAAAAAGGAAAAAGTCTAATAACCACTTGCTGTTTGGTGAGTACGACCCCATATCTTCAGACGACCAACAACCTGGTGGAGAACACTGAGAGAAACTGAGCAACAGGTAGACGACACCCATGTGACTGGAGCTCAGCTGGTGCGTCGTCTCCTTTACTCACCTTAAGTTTCTAGAACTAAAGGAGCCAAGTGCAGCTCATCCCAGTAATTATAATCAACTAATGTCCTACAAAATACGGCAGAAGAAAAACACTGATATCAGGACAACAAGCTCATCAACAGTCTGGGTTTAAAGAAGATCTCTACGAACGCCGTCGAGCTACATTTAATCTTTAATCAGTGCAGATCAGAGAGTGGCGCCGCAAGATCTACGCGCGTTCTCACAAAAACTACTTCATCTGAGGAGCATTTTGGAATCAACTGCTGACGGCGATCAAAGTTACACAGAACTGGATCAAACAACAATTTTATTTTTATTTTCTGGCATTCCAGGTCTGAAGTCTCAAAGAGCCAATTCATTCCTTGAGATCGTGGCACCCCGGCAGCTAACGTAGGATCTACTGGTGTCCTGGATGGCACTCACACGTTAAAGTTTAGACATTCAGGCATTCACAAAGTGTGTCGCAAGTGGAATGTTCAATTACAGAATCACTGGAGCGGCACCAGTACGACCAGTGGGATATATCGGCTCATCACTTCGAAACGCTCACGAGCAAGAACCGACATTTGGTACCGTCTTTGCTTCGACATGGATCGTAGGTTGAATTAGGGGCAACCACAAGTGTAGACAGAACAAAGTTGTCCCTCCCTCGCTCAGTTTATTCAACAGACTTGTTAACGCGTGACACAGGAAGCACTTCAAAGCCCTCAAACGTCGCCTCTGACAAAGCGTCCGGTTGCAGCGAGCGCCGTTCGTCCTGCAGCTGGAGAAGCCGGGGTTAGCTGTTAACTCCTCAGTAATGCTCATTTAATAGATTATCTTTAGACAACAAATAGCGTTCTCACGTAATCTTTTAGTTCTCTGACGCACTCATTTAAATCATTATAGGAGACATGAAACTTATATTTTTGTTCTCATGATTTCCCCGCTTCATGGATCAATTACATCACTATCGGCCAAAAGAAAAGCCAAGAACGAGCAGCACAAACACGGCAGAGGGTGTACGCATACACGGCCTGTTGGAATCAATAAAACTAATCCATAACTATGAACCGAAATTGATTCTGAGCTGTGGCTGCTCTCAGCTTCTGTTAGTTCACTTTAATGAAACCCTGCAGGAGTCTCACTGATGTCAACGCACAGAAGCATCACTCTTGGTGTTCCTGTGGGACGCTGTGCCTGAAAGACCGCCGTGGTTTCTACGTTATCTCTACAGGCAAACTTGTTGTCAGATGTACTTGGCTGTGCAGAGATCATAAAAAAAAACAGCAGAATATATTTCCACCTTAAGCGTCTGTCGGGTGTTTATGTTGGAAATATAAACCAAAAGTGTCTTTTTTTTATAATCGTGCTAAACAAATTCATGATTAGACAGTAAACAGAAAACAAAGGAAACAAGGCTGAGGGTTACAAATGATTAAAAACATCGTTATCTATTACTTCTATCTTGAGTGCAAAGAACTAACGGACTGGTTTTATCGCAGCCGTGCATCCGTCGTCAGCAGCAGGCGGTTAGGAGCCGAACTCTACAGTCTCTTCTGTGATGGGCTTGAACTCGTAGTTCCCTCTGCCGTCCATGTGGAGGTAATACTTCATGACGGAGACGGAAACATGGAGAAAAGCAAAGTCAGCAGGAACGAGGACACGTCCAAGTGCAGCAGATATTCAACAAACACAAACAGTGAAATCTGTCTACAGTTATACCACACACTAAAATGCTTACCGTAATGTCTGGACTATAAGTCACTACTTTTTTCACAAGCTTTGAACGCTGCGGCTTAAACAACGATGCGGCTAATTTATGGATTTTTAACAATTTGCCTCGAGACCAAAGTGACGCTGAGAGCGACGACGACAGAGAGACTGAGGAAGTGATGAAGTGATTCTGAGGCTGTTCAGCTCCTGAAGACACTGAAGAAGACGACTTTAGTGGTTTTAGTGCAGGAGGAAGATGAAGATAGCCATCAGTGACTTTTCCTGGTAGCTGCTGGAGTTTTATTTCCTTAACCAGCCGTGTTACAGGAAGTGTTCAGAAAAAAGCATCTACGGTATTTGTGTATGTTACTGGTACGTATTTAATTAAAAGTTTAAAACATTTTTCTGTGTAAATATCTCATGTTCCAACGTGGACACCTGCAGCTTATAGACCAGTGCAGCCTTTATATGTACACACCTGGTTTTCTTTTTAAAGTCAGTGGGTGCAGCTTATATTCAGGTGTGCTCATAGTCCAGAATTTACGGAAGTGTGTTTCCAGTATAATAAGAAACTCAGGCCGCCATGCCGTTATCCTATGTGATGGCTAAACGAGGTTGGACATGCGTCCTTCTTAACTCCTGGTTAGAATTCTACACATCGCAGTGCTGTGAGGGAGCAGTAAAGTCGTTGGTAGGAATCTGAGCATTTAATTATAAGTCGTAGAAACATGGACATCATTCAGTCCTCACCTCGTGGTGCTTCCACAGGGACTTTCTGTGAGACACTGTGAACAAGGTGATGCCCACCTGTGGATCACAAAAGCATAGAACTAGTACCTGATAGAACAGCACATCAGCGTGTTGTACTCATCTCCTGTGTTCATGGTTCACATTTACCCTACATATCAGCATCATGGGGGACTACAGAGGTTAGTGAAAGTCTTTCTGCTAACTCTGCTAACTGCCATATGTTGTACTGAGCTACCATTTGCCACTGATAAACCTTCTTACTCAAAGACGTACTGCGTTTGTGTGCATAATGTGCTGTTGGGTCATACCGTCCTGCAGTGGCTGTAGATGTAATCCTCCACATCCACACTCACTGCACTGGTGCACTCGTCTAGGATGGCAAACTGGGGCTTGTGATAAAACAGTCTGGCCATCTGTGTACAGAAACAGACACACAAAGCACCAGAATCATCATCATCATCATCATCATCATCATCATCATCATGACTGTTCTCTGTGTTTCCTCACAAGTTCAAAAGCTGTCTACTTCAGTTGAAAAAGATCAGCATTCAAAATGGGCAACCACAGACTCACAATTCATCACCACCTAAATGAATTAATAAAGAAATGTGGCTCTTTGTTTTGGATGTAAGGTTTGCTTAAAGGTTGTTAATGTTGGCAAAAATGGGGTAAAATCAGGAGGTTGTGGCTTTGAATGGGAGACGTATTTCCATCCATCCATCCATCTATCATCTCTACACCTTAATCCTCACCAGGGTCATGGGGGCTGGAGTCTATCCCAGCTGACTCAGGGTGAAGGCAGGTTCACCTGGACAGGTAACCAGTCTATCACAGGGCTACACTTAGAGACAGACAACCAAGCACACTCACATTCACACCTACGGACAATTTACAATCACCAATTAACCTCAGCATGTTTCTGGACTGTGGGAGGAAGCCGGAGAACCCGGAGAGAACCCACGCTGCACGGGGAGAACATGGAGACTCCACGCAGAGAGATCCCGGGTGTCCTCACCGGGACGCGAACCTTCTAGCTGTGAGGCAACGATGCTAACCACCGAGCCACCTTGCAGCCCGAGACATATTTCATCATTTCAAATAAACTTTTTGTGTTTGCATGTTCTTCGTACAGTCGTGAGTGTGAACTGAAAAGTCCTCCACCTGCCTGACAAGAAAACTCTTTTTTTAAAAACTGTAAATCAATCCCTAGTCATGTTGACAGGAAGTGAGTGGGTTCTTACAGCCATCCTCTGCTTCTCCCCTCCGCTGAGGACGTCCATCCAGTCCTGGACAGTGTCCCAGCTGCCCTCCCTGTCGAGGATGTGACCCAGCTGAACATTGTCCAGGTACTCCTTCAACACCTGGACGCATAGAGCCATAAAGTCAGTACAGTGAAAAACACAGACGGTGAAAGTGAGCAGTGTGTTTTTTGTCCCACCTGATCAGAAATGCCTTTCTTCCTCTGATCTTCAAAGGTGTCGGGGTAAATGACTTGGTCCCTCAGAGAGCCTAGAGTCATGTAGGGTCTCTAGACAAACACAACACAGTCAGTCAAACACAAACTTCCAGAAGATGAAGATCAGCGCCACCTGCTGGAGCTTTTTAATGTCATTGGAGTCGTGAAACAGAACCATGATAGATGTTTCCCCTGAACATAGTGAAGGCTTTTTGAACTGCAATGATTGACGGTCGCTGATGGGAAAACTTTATGCATCACTCAACCCTCGTGTATCATCAACTATATAAACTCCCCTTCCTCTAAGACACAGATTAGGCAATCTTAAAACCAAGACGCTGCTCAGAGCTCGTGCCAGAATGAAGCTGACAGTTGTTAGTGGCAGAACAGAAAACAGGATTTTTACCTGAGGAACGTAGAAGAGCTTCCCCCTCTCGGGTTTTGTCAAATGTCCACCGAACAGAGGCCACAGCTGTAAAAGAAAAACCACAATTCAGACACTGATGGACTGATTATCCAAGTCTGTGGAGCTTTACTGGAGGGATGGAACACGATTCTTCTAGAAGATAATCCCTTCCCCTGGTTTGGTGTTTGGTGACGGTGCTGCAGACTGCTACCTAACATGCTGGTCCAGATTCTCCAGTAAGTATTCAACTGGGTTAAGATCTGCCAGTTGTGAAGGCAAAACCTTTTCACACGTTTGATTTCAGTAACTCTAAACATCACGGTCATCGAATGTGGGTTAAGCCGTGGTTGCCTGTTAACTACATGCAGTTAATCTGTGAGGAAGCATCTGCACTTGCTGTTTTTTCCCATTTTTTCCCTCCATGTATTCAGATTTTTCTTGAATGTGTCTCCTGTGTGGATGTAAACGACTGTACAGACAGGTCTGATTAGCAACTCTCACCTCTCCGAGCACTCTGAACAGGGAGCTTTTTCCACAGCCGTTAGGTCCACACACCAGAACGTTGGTGCCAGACTGGACCTTTAAGTACAAAGAAGCAAAAAAAAAATGTAAACCTGAAATCCAGCTTTTCAAACAAATCCATCGATTCAGTTTTTTATTTCTGTCATTAAACACTGACTGGCCAAAGACGAGCACTTTACCTCAAACGTGAGGTCTCTGATCAGGACGTCTCCGTTGGGTGTTGCCAGTGGCGTGTGGTCAAATCTGCAAAATGAGAAAAAAACACATTTACTTCAGCAGAAAGGAAACCAGAAGCACATATCAGTGTGTAGTGAAGAGCGCAACAGGAGACCTACTTGATGACGTTGTCTCTGTTGATAATTTGACCACTTCCAGGCACCAGTACGAGTTTCTCCGCTGTGTCTTCTTTAAAGGGGAATAAACAAAACATCAGATAAGGCGTTTGGCTGCATGGCTTCAGTTGTCTGGTATTCTCATTTCTGTGATATATTTCTTTGAGGAGAAGCTAGGTACCCTTCTCCTGCTGGGAAACCATCGTGCGTTCGTATTTGCCAGCGTTTAGCTCCTTCAGGACTTTCATCAGTTCGGTGATACGAGCTGTAAATCTGTAGGAGACACACACGAGTTATAAAATCTAATAAACATTTAAATTCATCCCAAGAGATCCATACAGAGAATAACATTATTATAACATCATTACCATGTGAAGTGCTATGAGATGTGAATGTTATATTTGACGCTGCACCACTTTTAGAGATATTCAGGATAAACCTTTTCTGAATGAAACAGCCTGCATGAATTATTCAAAATGATTTAAAGAGATCTGTATGAATTGAGTATTGAATTAAGACAATCTCATGCTGGACAACACGTCTGTGAGGTATGACCCGTCTTTTTCACCTTTTTTCCTAACAGTCTATAAAACTCACCCTGAGAGGCGGGTCATCTCTCGGCCGGCCAGTACGATCCTGCCCAGGGCCTGGGACATCCTCAGGAGCATCCTTCCACTCTGGTAGTAGTCCTGTCAGCCACACAAATCCAGTTCACATCAGTACACCTCAGAACAAACCCGATTGCTGTATTGTTTCTGGAGAATAAGGTTTATTTATCATTGTCCAAAGTACCGTCATGCTGTAATAGAACTAAAGAACTAAAGCGAAGGCATTGGACCTACACTTCTTTTCCTAATGTATCCACGCTTTACTCTGCACACGGAAGTTCAACTTGTTTGTCGTACTTATCTGAATAAAGAATAAAGTACAGTGGGAAGTACCTGCTGGACATGAGAACAACAAACTTGGGCCTTGAGACTGCTCTTGCTGAGGAACTTGGGACTACTCAGCATTACCTCGTCCTCGTGTTGCCCCCACTACACCGCGAGCAGCGTGACGGGGGGCAGAGGAGGGGTAAGTTCAGAGGTATCTGGGCTAGGCTAGGCCAGACAGGTATGCCATTCCAACCCTTCTACTCACAAATGTACATTCTCTGGACAATAACATGGACAATATATGTCTTTGGAGGTCATGGATGGATGGATGGATGGATGGATGGATGGATGGATGATAAAGAGAGGGAGGGAGAGATGGATGGATGGATGGATGGATGGATGAAGAGAGAGATAGATGGATGGATGGATGGATGGATGAAGAGAGAGATAGATGGATGGATGGATGGATGGATGGATGGATGGATGGATGGATGATAAAGAGAGGGAGGGAGGGATGGATGGATGGATGGATGGATGGATGGACGGACAGATAGATGAATGGATAAAGAGATGGATGGATACATGGATGGATGGACAGCTGGAGGGATGGACAGATGCATAGATAGCATGATGTGAGGGAATGCTGCCTGTACTGCCTATAATATACAGGCACAACACACTGCAACTGGTCTACACAAGCTCCAAAGGTGCATAAAAGCCTTCAAACCTCCGCTACATCAGACTCTGTCCTGCTGAGACCTGCCCATAGACTCTGGGTGAAAGTTACAAGTTGCACGGCTGCACTTCAGGACACCACAGATTGGGGCATGTTTATGCCGGCAGCCACATGCAACAACCGCTCCAACGTCCAGGAGGACACGGACTCGCTTTACCAGCTACATCACTGAAAGCAATGATGATGTCACCCACATTCAGCACCACCCATGCTAACCAAAAGTCATGGCTGACAGCTGAGGTTCCCAAAGCTGTTGAGGGCCCGCAACGTGGCCTTTAGAGCTGGAGGTGCAGCTGGTCTGAGAGCAGCCAGTACCAACCTATCCTGAGGCATTAGGACGGCCAGACACCAGCACATGTGGAAGATTACGGGACATGTCAGGGACAGCAGAGACACACAGAGCCTGTGGCAGGTTATAAGGACCATCACAGACTAGGAAAGGAAGGAAGGAAGGAAGGAGCCTCCTGACCAGCTGCCTCACTGTTTAGTTTGGAAGACGCACCATCTCCAACCGTAAAGCCCTGCAGTGCATCGTGCACACAGCTGGAAGAACACATGCCTCACTCCCAACAAGTTCACTCTGACTTGTGATCACTGACTGGTTTGAAGCCTTTGTGCTATTTAACACACAAAGCCAGACCTCTACATGTATCAGTCCACTTCTATCCAGTACAACAGTCAGAGCTGAACTACTTGCTCTGACCTACTTTCAACAAAAGCTGCATTCTTGTTTTGAAGCTCTCTCATTTACCACGTGATGACAAAGTGTGTGGGCAGGTGTGTGTGTGTGTGTGTGTGTGTGTGTGTGTGTGTGTGTGTGTGCTCTCTCTCACCTCGAGCAGCTCAGAGTGTGTGCTGTTCAGGTGTCGGGGGTGTGACAGGTTTAGGAATGGCCGGCTAACCACCAGGTAGCCCACCACTGTGGCCAAGTCTGCAGGGAAACAACAGGTGGACACATGAGAACAGATTCACTTTGTTTTGACTGTGAAAAACAAGTTATGAGTGCCTGTTCCGCACAATTATTTATGCTCGTAATTGCACAGATTAGACGAGGGCGTTGTCTCTCACCACTTCAGTTAAAGAGTACATCTACTTACACTTGGCAATTATGCTGTCCACAAATCCCATAGAGAAGCGGAAGAAGATAAAGTTATGCAAGTGGTCCACCTGCAAGAAGTAACGAACGTTTAATAAAATGTGCCGTATAATTCTAGCCTATTCTGATGTTGGGGAAGCACATACATTTACATCTCTACTAAACATGTTTTCAGACGATTTTAAGGAAATCTAATAAAATCAACAAATGCAGCTGCTGCAGGTTTATCACTGCCTCTTACTTTGGGGACAGGAGAGAACCTCGTTGTTGTTTACCTCCAGTGGTCTAACTTCTCGCTTTGTAATTACAGGTGCAACAAAGCACCGTCCAAAACTCACCAGAATACATTGAACAGGGATCCTGGCTGTGATTTAACAATAAAATAATTCATGTGGTTCCATTTGTGGACTCTTAAGACACATCCACACCTCGTGGAAAACACAAATCAACCCACCAGTTTCTTGAATGTGGCGTGAATGGTCTGCTTTTCCCTCGTGTTCCCGTTGTAGAAGGCAATCTCCTCACTGAAGAGAAACAAAGAAAATCAGCGTGGCATTGTTGTGAACAGCTGTACAGTAACTGAGCTTGAACGGTTCTTAATGCGTTTACCTGTTGGTGATAAGGCGAGAGTTGACGTAGCGATACTCTCCCTCGTAACGCTGCTCAGTGACGGTCATCTTGCCTATTGGCCTCCTCAGTCTGGTCAAGAACAGGCCCGAGATCAGCAGGTAGGACATCATGATGGTTGGGCCCTGGGTAGGAGAGCAGAGGTGGACACAATCGAGTATTTATTTATTATTTGATTCATTCCAGACGTGCCGCAGTATCATAAAGGCTAAAGAGAAAATAAAATACACAAAAAAAACAAACAAACTTCAAAACAAACCACATCCAAAACCTAAAATAACGTCTGAAAACAAGTTGGATGAAGTTTAACTTATTAGCTCCAACATGTCGGAGCATCTCGTATCTGACTGTTTCCTGTTTGCACACAGGGTCAAAGAGCTTCATCAGTGGAGACATGTCCTGTGGTCTGATGGAACTAAACCTCAACTGTTTGGCCTTAATGACCATCGGTACATCTGGAGGGAAAAGGGGGAAGCTTGAAGCCTGAGAACACCATCCCAGCTGTGGAGCACGGGGGTGGCAGCATCATGCTGTGGAGGGACTGGTGACCTTCACACAATAGATGGCATCATGAGGAAAGAACATGATGTGGAGATACTGAAGCAACATCTCCAGACATCAGCAGGAAGTTAAAGCTTGTGACTCTTTCTGGTGTTTTGGAGACGTGAGCTCCTCCCGTCCCAAAGCGCTCACCGGCGGTCAGGAGTCTGGTCAGCAGGCCCAGCTGCAGCCAGCAGGACAACCAGACGGCATTTTGACTTTGCTGCAGGTTGATCCTTTAAGTTCGGCTTTTTATTTCATAAATACACGAGGGAGATTCAAATAGACGTTGAGTATTTTATTTGAGTTTAAAATGTTTTTGTTGCATGCAGAAATAAAAAAGTGTTAAAGGTTGCCGACTCCTGCTCTAACGCAGCCGATCCCCTTTGCTGCATATTGTCACTATACGTCCATGTGTGGTTCCCAGTACGGTAGGTATGGTACAGTTTGTGGTTAATGCATTTCCACTGGCTAAAGGAAACACGCTGGAACTATTACCTGAGCACCGATGGCACTTGTCAGCTTGAAGATGTACAGACCGATATCTAACAGAGGCTGAAGGAGAGACAAAGGACAAATAGATTTAGAAATATTAATCCAGAAATCTTGCTCACAGTATCAATCATGTGAAAACAACACTCCTATCAAAGTGATGCATGGGCTGCTGGGACATTTCAGACCATTACATGCAATGCAAGAGGAGTGTGTCATAAGAACAACCAGCAGGGTGCATAGAGCTTCAATGAAAATGTCGTGCTCGTCGTTCTATTACAAAGTTGTGCACAGTACTCCAGTGTACTCGTCCCCGTTTACTCCTTCACTGCATATGGTGGAGCTGTACCTTGCTGAGGTTGGAGTAAAGATCCACCACGCTGTTGCAGAACTTCTCCACGTCCTGTGTCAGGAGCTGGTCTGCATTGGCTATCCGGTTGTCCAGGTTTCCCATTTTGTAGTAAGTGAAACCTCTGAAGAGGCAGAACACAAGATGAAGACACAAAGACGTCTGGAAACACCAGAAGACATGCTTCACCTAGACACCTAGACGTTCTCCAGGTGGGAGTCACAGGTTCTGAACAGCTCAAACCAAATTTCCCTTTTTTCATTTTGTTTTTCCTTTATGAAGAACTACTTGCTCCCTCTTCAGCAGAACGTGTCACTGTGCTGTAATTCCCTGCTAAGATGCATTTGACGATGAAACGGTGGGGTGACGGTCTCTGGGCTGAACAGAAATGGGGGTTGATGGTATTGATGGACCTTTGGTGTTGTTGGTAGCAGCAGTAGACGGCAGCTTTGGGTTTAATTTAAAACATGACCTCTGCTATGCTGTGCTATGTCCACGGGATCAATGTTCAACAGAAACAAGCCGCTGTCATCACGTCTGAACATACCGACAATGAAGAACTAACACAGAGACACAATTACAAATGTTCTGATGTTTTCTGAGGTGAGCACAGTAAACCTGAACCATTCTGTTGAACGGCGCTACAGAACAGACAGAAGAAAAAGAACAAAAACTCTGCAGTTAAACTAGTGGCCAACCAATTAAACATTACTGACACGATGGCAATGATTACCAAGAGGCTGGATCACCATGACCACCAGCTTCCCACAGCCAGAGGATTGAAACTGCTCATTTTGTGTGACTGAAGAAGCTCAGTTGAAGAGATGCAGATTGCATTTGTGCCAATGTTCAACAATGCTGATGCCAATACTGACATTCTTTTCCCTACATATTAACACAACATGATGCCTGTTCTTATCGTGGAGGCTCACTGGCAGGTTCAGACACCTTTCAAATGTACACATTCACTGGACAAAAAGGAAAACGACTTTAGTGTAAGAGGCACTATTTGGGCCGATATTAACACTTAAGAGTGCATCCACGATAGGACCAGGCGGGGGTGGCACAAGCCATCTCACCGATTTCAATGAAACTTTGCCAGTTTAAAGGGGTCCACCCAAAACTGCTTCAGTCTAAGTTTAAGGAAATTTGGTCAAACTGGGGGGATTTCACCACCCTTCCTTGTTTTTTTTTTGCAAAAATTACCAAAAATCGCCTAAAAAATGGTCAGAAGTATAAAGCTCTACTGCTGTAAGAATTCAACCAAATCTTTTCATATTTTCAGTGAATGTTATCCTACCCAAGGACAATCTATTGTCAACGTTTGGTTCTCCTACGACCAGTTCCATCACACAGATCATGTCAGCCAAGACCGCCTCTCTCACCCAACAGTGAAAACTGTTAAAATACCCAAAGTTTAGGCCAAAATATCTCCAATGCCCGAGCATGCTTCAAAAAACTGAGCATACCGTCTAAAAGGTGGGACTTCATACTAACATTATCTGCAATAAAATCTTCGGGCACTCACTAAACTATTTTACAGGAGGACTGCAAACTTGTCTCCCACCGCAGGTTATCCGCTTCAGTTGTTTTTCATTATAACGCGTTGATTCTGTAATTATGGCACAGCAACAGACAGAAAATGCCACAAAATGGTTACACACCATAAACTTTAATGAAATAGAATCATTTTGAAAGCTTTTGTTTGACCTTAGTCAGAAAAATAAGAATCGGCAGCTTAAAAATGACCTCTGTTATTGTATAAGTGAACTATGTGACGGGACTCACTCTTCGCTAAGTCAAACCAGGAGTCATAGAACACTATCAAAACGCTTCCTTTGTCTGTATTTGAACGTGAGAATGATTTTATAATAAAAGAATGGCTTTTGTTTGTCTAATAATGGAATAATAAATTTGCTTGAAACTTGCACGCCTGACATCACATCTTGATACAGACAACTTTATCAAAAAGACTTTGTTCTACTGAAAATAAATTGATTCGCTTTTTTGCAAAAAAAAAACCAAGGAGGGGTGGTGAAATCCCCCCAGTTTGACCAAATTTCCTTAAACTTAGACTGAAGCAGTTTTGGGTGGACCCCTTTAAACTGGCAAAGTTTCATTGAAATCGGTGAGATGGCTTGTGCCACCCCCGCCTGGTCCTATCGTGGATGCACTCTTAATTTCAAAGGATTTATCTGCTGATAATGTTCCGACGTCATTGTGAATTCCTAATCATGGGAAAACCAGAAATATAGATGCTTTTGTTGATAAAAGACATAAAAGCCTAAATAAATATCAAGCGTTTGAATGGAAAGCAGCTTCGGTGTTTTTGCTGTACTTACTGTAGGTACTGGTCATACAGGCTCTTTGTGAGCCTCTCACGGCACCTCAGCTTCAACTCATTGAGGCCCAACTTCAGGAAGTTGTTCACCAAGGCAATCTGGAAAGAGCCAGTCAGACATAACACACATGTATATATCCGGGCCTGGATTTCAGTTAAACTGTAAAAAAAAAAAAGATTTAAAAAAAAAAAAAAAAAAGTAATGAATAGCATTCATCCTGATGGTTTTCTAATCCCATAGGATGGGAAATAAAGGCAACATACGAAAAGCAAAATAATTAGCATGATTTTCCAAGAGCCATGCAAACGCACAACTTTGAGAATTAGGCTGCCAATCATCTATGTTTGTCTTTTTAAACAGGAATGGAGAATTGTGTGTGTACCAAACTGTGATACACATTTAAGCCAAATATGATTCATACTCGTGCCAAATTTAGTTTCACAGTGAATTTCTATTTGACCAAGACATTATGTTAGATATGTTCAGAAATGATAAAATCAACTATTTCTATGTTTGTTTGTCTTTTAAAAACATTTTAGGATTTCCTCCAAGTTATTTATACCCCAAGAAATTGGGAAAATGAAGTTTCTGTGCCATTCCAAATGGCTCTGGTCATGTTTAATTTAGGAAACGCTGATGTGGCGGCTGGTCAGTGACTGGTCAACTGCAAGTCATGACTAAAACCAAAGAGCGAGTGAGCTCACTGTTCGGGTCGATCCCTGAGTGGGCTGCTCATGAGACATGGAAAGGCTCTAAAACCACATCCGAGTGGTTTTAAGTCCTGGTGGCCGCAATGCAGAGCATCATCAGAAAGTACACGATGTTCCAGAATGTGACAAATCTCAAACGGTGTGGTAGGAAGCCAAGAATCGCCCTTGCACTGATAAAGGCCAAGAACAAACCGAGGATCACCAGTCTGCGTAAGACCACATGAACACTAACTGAGGAGGGATCCACGTCTCCAGGATAGACGCACAAAAACTCAACCGCTGCAAGAAAAAGAAGACAGCTTTTGGTCACCGCTTTGGTCGTCTGATGAGATGAAAATGGAGTTGATTGGATGTGAAAGGAAGGAGAGACATTCAACCCCAAAGGGCAGCAACCCCACCGTCAAGCACGGTGGTGGGAATGTAATAACCTCGGGGTGTTGTTCAGCCAGTGGACCAGCAATAGTTAAGATCTTGTCATCCTGAGAAAAGAGGATCACGTTAAGACTGTGGAGACAAGCATGAGGCAGTCTGCAGGAAAACTTGGGCAGCATTGGAACGTCCAAGAAGACAACGGCCTGAAACATACGGCCGAAGTGGTAAAGAAGTAGTTACCAGAAGACATGATAAGCATGTTGGAGTTGCCCAGCCAGAGTCAATCCCATTAAGAATCTAACGAGGGAACTGTGATGGCAAAGAAGTCTTCCAATCGAGACCTGGAGAAGTTCACAAAGAGGAACAAACTCTGAGCAGAGACATGCAGGAGGCTTGGTAGCTTTGCCACTGATGAGCAAAAGGGTTGACTAACTGTGGGTAAAGCGTTTTCTGGAAAAATGTAGAAAAAAAACACAGAAACAAAGAAAAAGTTAAAAATATATATTACAAGCTTTTTTTTGCCATCTGTTTTCACTGGTATGTGTCATTTCCAGCTAGAAGAAACAATTGGTCAAGTTAAAAATTCACTATAAATCTAAATTTGGCATCGAGATGCATGAGGACCAAATGTAGGATGATGTGGAACTAAAACAACAAATCCCTCTGATTTTAATTTACACCTGATTAGGACTATAGAAGTCAGATGATTCAGAAAAATGGTTTAAATTCTTCAGTAGGAACCAATGAAGTTGAGACAGAGAGCCGCAGACAGGGTCAGGAAGTTTTGTTTTGTCTTTTTTTGAGGGATTTGTTGATGATAAAACATTTTTAAACACAGAATATTGTCAGCCATACAACACTGATGCTTACAGTGATTTCAGTGTTTCATTAGTTAAAGAAAAAATAAATCAGGACAAATGGTAGTTTTTCAATCTGCAAAATGATTCAGTGAAAATAATTCAACTATCACCAGGAAATTAGTAATTACACAGAAATACCAGTGTTTTTCATATCAGGTTTTCTCTGGACATACAGTCATGGAAGAACTTATCAGACCTCCGTGTTTTCTTCAACTTCTTGTTCATGTTAATGCCTGGTACCACTAAAGGTCCACTTGTTTGGACACATATGATGATAACAACAAAACTAGCCGATAAGAGTTTAGTTTCAGAGCTGGTATCAGACATGTTCCAGGGTTTTCTTGATAATAACCAAAGTTCTTCCATCAGTAGCTGCCAGAAACAGAGCTTTTAGACGTTCCAAGTTTTCTTTTCTGTCTATTTCAGCCACATGACACACAGGACTTAGCACCTGATGGCAGAACCACTGTTTCTGATGACTGCAGCCATGCGTCTCAGCTGCTCTCCACCAGCTTCAACTTCAAACTAATGTGCTTTGTTTTGGGGCTTGTGCTTCTCCATTTATGTGTTTGATGGTGCTCCACAGGTTTTCAGTTGGATGTAGATCTGATGACTGAGCAGGCCAAGGCATGGTTCCAGTGTTCTGGTTCTCCATCCAGGCTTTAGCTGACCTCGCCGTGTGCCAAGGGCCATCGTCTGGTTGGGAAATCCAGTCACTGGAGGCAGGAAAGAGTTTTCCAGCTGATGGAAGAAGACTGCTTTCCAGAGCAGCCGGTACATGACCTGCTTCATTTGCCCTGTTCCCCCCAAACCGGAACCAGCCCAGATGGTCACTGATCCACCCACATGTTCTACTGTAGGGGCAGCACAGTCTGGTCTGGAGGCTCCTCCAGACTTCCTCCTAACCAGGAAGGTGGCTGGAGTGGGCATCAGCTGAACATTGGATTCATCCCTGAAGAGAACCTCAACCTAATCATCAACAGTCCAATCCAGAGGAACCGGGCTTTCCTCTGCCTTTGGTTGATGAAGGTCTTCTTCTGCCCTGTGTGACTTCAGACCAGCTTCAACAAGTCGGTTTCCAACAAGTCCCATGTCTCCACAGTGCCCCTCATGTTCAGGTCCCTGGAGGTCTGACCACGACTCCTGACACAGAACAGATGAGTGCTCGGTCACCTGGTGGGTAGGAAGACGTTTCCTGCCGCCACCAGCTAGCAATGTGGTAGCACCATGGTGGGCTGGTTGTTTCTTGGTGTGATGAACAGCTGTCTTGGAGATCTCCAGTTTTTTCGCTACCTGTCTCTCACTCACGCCAGTTTCCAGCAGAGCCAAGATGGCTGCCTTTGTGGCTTCACATAGTTCTTTTGTTTTAGGCTTTATGTGAGAGCTGAGCTGAGAGTTGTGCTCATACCCTGGGAATACAACTAAGCTGAAGCAGGTCAAATAGGACATAACATATGATGTCTGCATTTTTTGTTCACTGCATTCTTCAGGTTATATAGCTGTCATGGTACCAGGCATTAAAATGAAGAAGACATTGAAGAAAACAAGGAGGTCTAAAGGTTTCTTTCCATGACTGTATTTTAAAATCAAACAGTGCTGGACTATAAACTGATCCTGAATAATACAGAATAATATAGAGAATATGATGTTCAGATCAAATGTATGAGTGTCAAAAAATGAAAAGTTACCAAAAAACACACTTACAAGTGGCATGAATTTGATAAAGCTGAACAAGAAGATCTTGAAATCTTTTGTGGAGCGACCAATAATTGCACTGCAAACCACAACATGCACAGAGATGAGCAAACATTGCCAAGAAGGTCATTAAGACAAACACTGGGGCTTGATAAGACTTCGTGATCGTCCTCCCCGTGCAGCTCTACTGAACAAACCACAGCACAGGGAGGAGCACGACTTGTTTCCCTGATATGAAATAGACGGGCACGGTGGAGTCCTGGCACACATTAATACAGGAACACCATTCAGTTTATGTGCTTCCATGACGTGTTGTGATGCACGCTGGATAAGCGCTGGACGACTGATGAGCTTTGTCGTGTTAACAGTTACATCTAAACTTTAATCACAACCGCTGAGCCTTACTTCCAGGTGACACTGGTCATCTTCTTATGTCTTATTCATTTGCTGACGCCGACGTCGTTACTGTGAAACGTCTGCAGGGAATAATAAGTGTCATGAATGGCAACTTTACAAAAAAAAAGTTAGACTCGACTCCAGAAATAAACTGTAATATATTAGCAAAGAGCATTTCTATTGGAAAAACTAACTCAATAAATAAAACTCTTATTAAACTCGTATTTTATCTGTTTAAACTTGTTTCTTTTCATATGAAAGATTTGACGAATGACAAAAAAATCAGTAAAAACATTCTAGTTGAACAAATGGTTTAATATTTCTGCTTGTTTTGACTTAAGATACTGAATAGGTTGCCTGTAAATTAGATTTTTTTTTAACCTCATAACCACCATGTGACATGTTTTTATCCTGTTGGGGAGCCTCAGTACATCTGCACCCTCAATATTCTTGTAAATAACTACAGTTGTATGGTTCTTATTTAAATTTAACTTTAATTCTTCACTCCACATTATCTTTTCCATCTGCTTTGCACTATTACGGCTATTTTTATTTACTTATATTTTTTTGCTATTTTTATAGTTTTATCTTGTACCTCACTCTAAACTATATTTATTGACTGCTGCTTTTATATTAGTCTGAAATGTTTTGTGATTTAATCAAGCTCAGGAGCCTAAAACAGAAATACAATTTGAAGGAAAAGCAACAAAACACATAAACTGAATGGGACTCTGTGTGAAAATCCAGTTAATGAACAGTATTAATTTAACCCCCTCAACAAAAGGCCACAGGTGTCAGTGTCATGACTTGAATGGAAACGTAGACCTCAGACAGTAAGTGATGGAAAACAACACACTTCCGAAGCACGATGTTAACACCACAGCGTTAGTGGCTCGGTTGTCACTCGAGCGAGAAGCACATCTTTGACAGTTACCCCCGGTATGACCGATATGTAGGAATAAAAGTGCTTCTTGAACAAAGAGACGTCTCTGCTTATAATACCGCTGTGGAGAATCAAAAGAAAGTCGTTAATTCCTGCAAAGGATGAAACAATAAACGCACTTTCACAACAAATGTAACACATGAAGGCCTTCAGACTGTGACTGAACTAAACCTGAGGAAAGCTACACAAGAGTCAGACGAACGGTGTTTGGCAGGAATCGCTCATTTATTTTCAAATTATAAAAACAAACACAGTCGTGACTCGAT